TCGTTGATATACTAGTACTACATATACAGTTCGTCTTATTTGATTGTGTCAGAAGTGGATACAAAAGCATGTGAAGAAGTTTAAACAGAAATTCATAGGATAAATTATTTTCATGCATCTGTTGATAGAAAGAAGCGCCCCCCTCCCCCAAATCACACAGAAATTCTTTGTTGTCGCACTGGTCTATTCTATGTAACAAAGACCGTCTAGTGACACTTATACCCCTAAAACATCACACAGAAGTACACCGAGGACCTTTCTAGATCATTAAACAAGGTGCCGTCGAATGAATGATTCTCTGATCATAGAATTTATGGAGCGAAATTTTCCGTCAAAAGACTGAAAGGGACCAACATGGCGACGCGATAGCGAGACATAGCCGGGTGGGTATGCGGCCCGGAAAACTGTCATTTCTCGACCGTTTACCCGGTTTGTAGCTCAAATTACGGCTTGATCCTCATCAGTATACCTTTCTGTACATATCACGGTACGAGATATTACAGTATTGTTGCTTACCTGTTAGAAATCTGCGTTTTCTGTAAAGGAAACTGCGCCTTCCGAACCAGACAGGCGCCGATTAATCCACGGAAATAGCCGAACTCTTACGGAAATTACCGAAGGCTCACGATTATAAGCCGAGTAGGTACGAAAGTTCACCGATGCTCCATGTGATTACAGATGTTGGTTATGAATACATTTTATATACTAAAGAAAGTACATAGAGGGTAAAATTTGCCTGCGAATTGGATCCTCTATGGTTGGCTAACTCCCCTTGCCAGTCGCATTACTTTTATGGCTGATTTTTACTGTCTATTTAGGCTGCAAAGGAGACTGGTGGAGACAAGGACAGGAGAATATGATCATGGCTGATATAATTCATACAACGGACTGGCAAAATCTCAGTTTTTGGTGCTATGTAGCACATATTTTATAGATCTTAACTGTAATGTCTTTTGAATTTTTTAAAATGTTTTTAATGACTTGCAGTGGTGAAAAATTGAACGCAAATTCAGTACTGTACTGCCATGTTGTACATATACGTCGGCCACAGGTAAATGTGACCCTGCAGTTTGGAAACAAGTCGTCAGAGGCCACTGCTACACGGTACATCTGTCGGATAGTGTCAATACGTTTCACCCACGTCAGGGCGCTTTGCAGTCAAGAGAGCGCCTATTTCCCACTCTAACCCTAATCATAACTTCAATTCTAACCATAGCGATAACCAAACAACGGCTAAAAACATGGGACGGCGAAACATAACAGGAAATGTTGCTGTGAGTGACTTAATTTAGTATTTTGTACAAATGTTCATCACAAAGGCCGGTGTGCAACTGCACTGCTCCAGTTACGTCATAATTACGTCAGACACAGGTAAATGTAACCCTGCAGTTTGGAGACAAATCGCCAGAGGCCACTGCTACACGGTCTATCGGCCAGGTTTCGTCATGACGTTTCGCCGACGTCAGGACGTTTTGCAGTCAAGGGAACGACTATTTCATACTCGAAGTACCCGAACACTACATTAATTCTAACAATAGCGATAATCATAACAACAAAATTTCAGCTATAAAACATGCGAAAGCAAACCATAACAGGAAACCGCAATTTCGGCGGCGTTTTCGGGAATGTTGCTGCGAAGTGTATGGCTGAGTCAGCTGATACAGGCTACTAGTATCACTTCATTTTAGATGATCTCGCGGCCAAGCCTGCGCAAGGCTATCAGCCCCCTTTGAGTGCCCCACGGTCAGTTAACCATGTCTACGCAGTATAAGGTACAAGGAGCGGCTCACAGTGGAAGAGAACTTCCTACCGAGACGAAAAGTCTACTCTACTCTACTCTTAACATTCGATCCTTCTGAATCGCCGCAAAGTCAGGCTGTTCCAGGCTACGAGATCCTTCTGAAAAGCCGCAAGGTCAAGCCTGTTCCTGGTGCTGACCTTGGTGCTGATCAAGAGAAACCCTACAGAGGAGTGTGATAAATCGCTAGAGGTCGCTGCTGCATGGTCTAGCACAAAAATGTGTTGGCCTCCAGTACGTCAGTTTGGATTCATACGCAGATCGTATTTTCTACCACTGTACTGTTGTAATTCGCTGTGATTATATATGTTTTCACCCCAATTTATGGTTGTCCCTTATTCTTGTCTGCTCTGTTAACTCGGTGTACGGAGGGTCGGCGGTCTTCAAATCCCGCTAAATACCCCCAAAACACGACCAATTCTACCGTGTCGCGCACCAAACACAACCGAGCCGCCGTGTTTGTTTACATGTTCGGTGATGTTGAATAGTAAATGTAGCGTCTCTTTCGTAGCAACATTCCCGAAAACGCCGCCGAAATTGCGGTTTCCTGCTATGGTTTGCCGTCCCATGTTTTTAGCTGAAATTTTATTGTTATGATTATAGCTATTGTTAGAGTTAATTAGTGTTAGAGTATGAAAGAGTCGTTTCCATGACTGCAAAACGTCCTGACGTCGGCGAAACGTCAGGACGACACCTGGCCGATGGACGGTGTAGCAGTGGCCTCTGGCGATTTGTCTCCAAACTGCACGGTCACTTTTACCTGTGCGCGACGTAACTATGACGGACGTACTGTAGTAGTGCAGTTGCACACTGCCTTCCCTTTGTGATGAACCTTTGTACAAAATACTAAGTTAAGTCACTCACAGCAACATTTCCTGTTATGTTTTACCGTCCCATGTTTTTAGCCGTTGTTTTGGTTATCGCTATGGTTAGAATTGAAGTTATGTTTAGGGGTAGAGTTGGAAATATGCGTCCCATTCACTGCAAAGCGCTCTGACGTCGGTGAAACGTATTGACAGTATCCGACAGATGTACCGTGTAGCAGGGACCTCTGGCAATTTGTGAAGTGCAACAACAGTCTACTGTGTGCGAGTCGTGTGCAGAACTCTCTTGATTGAAAATGTACGCATAGGCAAGGGACACGTTTCAATTCTTCGTTCGTTCAATCATTCATTCGTTTCTTTCCGTTTACTGCATTCACAATATAAGATTTTGTTGACCGAACCAGACACCAATCTCCCGTCGTCTGCGCGAATATATACGTTTTCATCCCGGTTTATGGTTGATCATGGTTGTCCCTTTATATGCTTGTCTGCTCTGGGTGCACGGAAGGTTGGTGGTCTTCAAATCCCGCTAAATACTCCAGAACACGACCGATCTGCCGTACTGACATTAATTACAACCGGGCCGCCATGTTTGTTTACATGTTACTCTAGTCTAGAGAAGTTTCAACGGAGTCTCACATAGGGGATGATTGCGTACTGCACCTCTTCGTACTTATGTCGTAGGACGATCAAGATCTCGTGTATTGTCCAAAAGAAAATTAAATTCATAAGAATCGGAACAATATAAACTTACGAACAAGAAGAGGGGTGTGCAAGGGGTGATTTTTAGCGAAATATTCCACTATACCGGGATTCGGTAAGTCTTTATTTTAGCCCCTGATGTCGAAACCTGGGAACGAGTCACTAACACATGTGGTTGCTTGATTGCGTAATGCTACAAACCATAACAGCCTTGTACAGGTTTGGCCATGGTCTTGTAGCCATTCAAAATGAATTGATAGCCTGGAACATGCCTGGCCCGGGACATTCAAAGGGGGTTGATAGCCTTGTACAGGCTTGGTCGTGAGGCCATCTAATACGAATTGAATGCCTGTAACAGCTGATGACTGTGTAGCTATTATCCAATCTCAGTGGATTTATAATCCTAATTTTAAATTGACGAGTTTTAACTTATAACTGACTATCGTCACATCAGCGTGTATTTCCTGGCGATATTTGCCCGGTATGACTATTGAGACATAAGTTAGGAAGGATACATTATCGTTGAACTTGAACTGTATACATTTGCATGAATTGACGTACGGTCAACCTCGAACTTGATGTTCACCCGTACATAAATGAATAAATTGATCCAGGCGAGCATCCTACACTACTAATGTCTGAGTCATATTTCAGTTGACGAAGCTGTATAAACGTGTAATTGTGCGCTTTCGTAGAGTTCTTAGCTTCATCTTCATATTTCAATGTGAAGTCTTGACCAAAGATAACTGTTATCAATATTGGATGCCTTTAAAAATCATATAAGTCGATACTCGTATAAGTCCACCGTTTAAACTTTGATTGGATTGGAACAAGGACATTAACGCTAAATATAATGTCCTTGATTTGAATGAGTGTCTTGTGTGCATAACCAGAGAAACAAGAGACAATTAGAAATAATTCATCGTATACTTATGTGCATTTCTCTTAAATTTGGCTCGTGTCATATATCTGCGACGTCTCCCATCCTAGCGGACTAGTTTGCTTGTTTATGTCTCTAGTACGAACATTCTGTAAGTAAATACGCCTAGAACTGCTAAACAAGGTGTGTCTAATGACCCATCGTGGCTCACAATGTACACCGCCCGACCCGTACTGTTGTTTTATTCTCTATTTCATGTCGTATTAGTTACGCTCCGGGCCCTTCAGTTGTCTCGCCACACGAGCGCCGCTGACACAGTTTTTTCAGACGACATGTCATCGAGACGAGATACTCAATGCTAAACATATATAAAACCATTCAGAACGTGCAACACCAAAACGACCCAACGACGGCCGGACCGGCCACTGTTCTACAGTCTCTTCCCGCCAAAACAATGGCATCAGATTGAGTTGCTGTTGACTTTGCCTCTCCTGAAGAGCTCTCGTTGGGTTCTTCGGTATCTTGTGTATGCATATTCCAATACATAGGTGCCCAGCAGTCGGAGAGCTAGAAATACAACTTCGCGTTGCTTGTATATCCCCCATAAAAGCCCTTCGGCACTGAACCTTGCCTGACGCTCTGAAAACGGACGAACTTTATTTTGTCTAAGAAACAGAGCCGCAATGGCTGACGAAAAGGCGGTAAACGGGCGAACAGAGGATGAAGACAAAGTTACAGAACAGTTGGAGAGGATGAGAGCCACTGGTAGCGGGCTCAGGAGGCAGACGTCTGAGTCAGACATGGGGAAAAGGGAGCCAAAGTTGTGCCGCCTGGGACCGCCGTCTTGCCCAACTACTTTGTAGCGATCAGGGTGACAAGTGAGGAAATCCGCCGAGGCGTACGGGCGATACAAGAGGCTGTCTGGCGCACGAACCCAACCTGGAGCCCGCCATCATCCCACTGTCCAACCTTCACGTCACGCTGTTGATGTTACACCTGCGTGAGGGACAGGTACAAGCCGCTAGGGAGGCGCTGAGACTAGCCAAGACTCGCATCACCCCGCAACTCCTGCAACCCGTACAGAAACCCGGAGAGAAAGCCACCACGTCACCGACCACGAAAGAAGCCGGTCGGTTCCTTCTCCAGTTCAACAAGGTGGCTATTCCCTTTGAGGGCCTGGGCACGTTCGCCGACACCACGGTGTTTGCGAAGGTCGCGGAAGGCGGTCACCTGGCCACGCTCAGGCAGATAGCCGAGACCGTGCGCGCCTGCTTCGCGGAGAAGAGCCTCTACCCGACCGACGACAACAGCTTCCTACCCCACCTGACCCTCATGAAGATCACGGACAACAACCAAGGGAAGCTGAAGAGTAAGGGTATCCAGAGGATCTCTCCATCACTGTACGAAGGGCTACGGGAGCGGGGGTTAGGGAGTCAGTCCGTGGAAGGATTCCAGCTCTGCTCCTTGAGAAAGAAAAGACAAGCGGACGGTTACTTCCACGTGGAGGAACAGGTCAAGTTCGGGCCAGGAGGATAAGGGACCTTTTGTTCTAGTTTTGGAATCCACTGTGTTTTTTGTTAAATTTACATGGATTACAGGTGTATCGTTACGTATGTATATATACGTCTTCCATAAAAAAATGCGAGAAAACTTGAAATTTGTAATAATCGCTGATACGTTCACAAGAAAAGCTTAGTTCTAGATGTAGGGTTACAATGCTAACTGAGATTACCAAGTCGTATGATGTACATTTATAATTTACTGCGTGCCAAGTTGTGAATGATGCATATTACCATTTGTGTATACCGTTTTATCAATACAAAATGTACAAAAGTTTATACATGATGACAATAAAAAGTACACGAGTTTGTAACCTTCCTTTTTGGCGACGCCTCAGGGGCGGAGGCATTTTTACTAGTATATTACGATCAAGCTGAAAATAATTTAGAAAATTTTACGAATGCATTCCCTGGGGAATTGGTTTTGAGGTAGCCTCCGGCCATGTGGTCTTTGGACCGAGAAGGAAAGGCTTATGTTACCATGCATGCAAATAGTACGTTTTTGGGCAAACTGTGGCTTTTTGCACACAGAGTATTAATTGTCTTTCTTGATATTTCAAATATGTTATCTTCTGTCAAGAAAGAACAAATTTTGTTGCTCATAAGAAAGAATAAGGAGCAGCATATTCAAGCTTATAATGCTTCAAATATGTTTTTACTTTCAACTATATGATGCTGGTCGTTTTTTAAAATAACTTTACTGTGTGATACATGTAATAGTAGTGTTTTGTGTAAGGGATTTTATTCACTTGTGTGTTTTTATCATGTATGTTTGTGTCAGTCTTACTTATTTTTTATTTTTTAATTTTTTTTTGCTTTCACGATGCTGTTGCATTCAATGCTTCTTTTTCAATTTTCTTGCATAATTTTCCTGCTGCTGTCGGTATCTCAGCTTGGACGTGGCGGAAGTTAACCTGTGAATATAAAGAGATAAAAGAGCATAAATGAATACATCATACTTTGGCCAGCTATGATTAACTTAAATTGACAAGATTTGGGGTCAAACAAAATCAAATCAAGAAGTCATAGATGGCTTCTCTATCAGGTCCATTTGTAGATATCTTTTGAAGGTTGGAAGGGACTGACAATTTTGTTGTAAATGATTTAAACTATTNATTACTGTAGTTCCATAAGTCTTTGCTGAAAATGTATGAATTTTGTTATGAATTATGCTCCTGTCGTCTTTTTTTTTTCATTTCGTCACGTACGTTTCCACGATAGGGAAAACATAGCCCCTCCATTGATAAAGCATCACTCCAAATACTAATACATGTACTGATGTAGTACGGCCTAGTTTTGGCTGCACACTACTCCTTTCACGAGCGACGTCTAGCGTTCAAATGAAAAATCGCAGATGAATGCTTACGGTCGTGTGGTTTACCTGATTATTCTGTTCATGATTGTCCTGATTTGCCCACCTCATCATATTCTGCTTGGGGTAAAGAATAGCATTCAAAATTATGAGGTACATATGTAACTCGCCCAAAGGACTGTGACCATCATCATGTATTCGTCTCCAAACATGACTGATAAACCTGATGTATCGTTCTTTACGTTAGATTTACGCAGAGCTTAGACGTAAACAACAACATACTATCGCCGGTACTGAAGAAGCAGTCGCATCGTTCGTTGAAAAGGTTTTAAAAAGACTCGAAAAAGAAACCGGGAAATGAGCTAGCTGTCAATGTGACAGGTAAACCCCACAGTTTTGAAACACCTTCAAAGGTCCCGCGGTATTGGTTTCTATTTGCACTTCACAACAAAGCTCTGATTGGCTCAAAGATGCGTTTGCTATGGCAACCTTCAAGACGACGCATTCTATTGGTCGATGTGTATGACGTCAAAATCATCATTGACATTCCCAGCGCCGTTCTGTGTTGTATTCTGTGATTGGTTACGTGGGCCGGTATGCTTTTGTTAGTCAGGCTCGGATTGGTCGAGAGGCGTCACATGATGCTAATTGGTGTGTTTGCCTTTCATTCGAAAAAGACAATATGGCGAATTTGTAGCTTGGGGTGAAATTTTGTCAACTTTACAACCACGATTAAGTGCTGTTTCGTACGGTAACGCAAGCCCCGATATCGCCGGAGTGGAAGAATATCTTTCTCTGTTGACTAAGCTCGGATCCGATCGCTAACCACGGCTGCTGTTCAGGTGTTACAGCGGTGGAAGTCGAGTTCTGTTCCGGGTCTTGATCAGCTTGGGCCCCGTCAGTACATCCCCCAGCCCGGCTACCAAGACACCATGGCAGACGAAAACGAGCTCGTTTGCGCGTCAGAATTCATCAAAGGTGAGATCCTACGATCTAAACAACCTCCGTAGACGTTACTGTTGCTACTGCTATAGCATTTTACTTGACATTTTCTGTGTTACGTTGTTGTGGGACGTCCCAAACGGGGGCCCAAAATTTTTGACACCAGCCGGCTTGACGTAACTTCGGCCACCAAAAACTTGACTTGGAAGCGTACCGCCCACTCACAACATTTCAAACCCATATGTATACACGTTATACTGTACTCCTGGACCCCAAGACCGGAATACTACGATACAAATGTAAACATAGCATCAAGATATCGGCGTTTATGTGAAAAATCTTACTTTCTTCTGGGACACGAGTCTTCTTGTGTTGTCTTAGCGTGGCTATAATTGATTTACAATCTGTGGTACACGGAAATAATAGTATATTTCCTTTGCATTACCATAGATATTTTGTTCGTTTAATATATTTTCTTTTCATATTAGTGATCAGATTTAGTAGTGTGAAGATTCAGTGTCGCCTCTACAACATTACCCCCTGTATCTCTTTTGTCTAGCAATGATTGATTGAAAAGATTACACGTTGTCATCAACAGTAGGTGTAAAATATGCAAGGTGTGAAACAGGAAGATGTGAAAAACTGTTTTGTCTGTAAAAGTCTGACATTTGCTTGTCTTGTTATAGCGCTAGTCTTGTTAATGTAACATGGATGCAAATTTACCCAAGTAAAATTAATCTAAACTTATCAGTAACGTTTAGTTTGACAGTTATGTAGATTTCAGTGATTTATATGTGTAGGAATTTTACATGGCAATGATTTGACAAGTTACTAATTTACTATGGTTGACTACTGACATGTCTGTATATGTTAGTATATTATTTGATTGATTTTTAGATCAATTACAACACTTGTTTTGCATTTTGACAAGGAGCAGTGAACATGTATATATTCCACTCAAAATTCTGTGAGAAGTGGCTGAAAAAATTTTTTTATCCCTTACGTTATTTCAGACAGTATTATTTAAGTCTCTTTGAGATAGTTCTACAAGGGTTAACTAAATTTTTTTCTCACAATTTTCCTGTCTTCCCCAGATCGCCTTTACTTCGCTACTCTACGAGGCAAGCCACGATCGACAGCAAACACACACTACTTCTGTGTAGATGATGAACTGGTCTATGAAAAGTAAGTCATCCCTTCTCTGTTAATTGTATGTGTGCTACATGACTATGACCAGTAACAGTAACATTTTACTACCAGCCCAAAATGTTTTGAAAGATAATGTACAGAATAATTTTTGTATCCCAAAATCGGTACATTTTAGAAATGATCCTTACACCCTAACGCTATAGTTTGCAGGCATTCTTGACCAGATGTCAGATGTATAGAGTTTTATTTCTGTTTTAATCTATTGTCTTGTTTCCTTTTGTAGCTTCTATGCAGACTTTGGCCCGCTGAATCTGGCTATGGTGTACAGATACTGCTGTAAACTCAACAAGAAACTCAAGGTAGGAAAAATGACATTTGTAATTGCATGTACTTACATGTACAATATGCTACATGTTGTATCGTAACAAACAGGTATGATATTATCATTGTGCCCAGGTAAGGTCTAAGATTTGATGTGTCAAATTTTACACCTATGGCTATTCTCACTATATTTAAATGTTTGTACAACACCAAGGGTTCAAAACCAACAAAAAGTGGCATAGTTTTGAATTTCCAAATAGGGGCAATATGCAGGTGGTTACTAGATTAACCAGTCAGATTTTAAGGAATGAATTAGCCTAGTCTTGATGTAGAAATAATGAGGATCTTTTAGCAGACTTTCAGGTACTTCTGTGAGACATCATTATATGATTAGTCGCCATGCATATGTGATTGGTGTCAAGTAGGTGTCGAGGAGGGTGGTGAGATTATAGGTTATCTGGTCAGAATAGCCCCAGGCTGGTGACAACCAGCTGTTCCACTTGCCGTAATCCCACCCATAAAAACCGCGTGTCGCCAGACTTGAAGCGTTTTCGAGTTTGTACGGTCAAGGAAATGAACTTAGTGTTGTGTACGGTTGATTTAAAGTAGAATTCATTTGATGTGTTTAAATGTCTATTACGCCTGCCAGTCAAATTTGGCTGGGGTCCAAGCCGGTTGTGGGTCGTAAATCGAGCAGGCCTACGGGTGACAGACAATGGCGGGCACCTGCGCATGTGTCGTGTGTGTGTACCAACACGACACACATTCCGACACTAGTGATGCATACCTAAACACAATTTTAGGTTCAGGTCCGGATTCAAGTCCAGAGGTTTAGGTTCAGGTCCGGACTTGTAAGTCCGGACCTGTACCCATGGTATATAAAAATTGCATGATGGCAACCTTGCAATGTTGTCTGGGTGAAACTTTGGCCACATAACATGGAGGCCGGTACTTGACGATGGCCGATGGCAATGTTTTCTTCATTTTGCAGCAAAGATTTTACAATCTACGGAAGGTTTTAGGTGGTTTGGAAAGAAAAGGGGTATGTGAAATGGTCTTTTATGATAATAAGTCCGGACTCGGTTCTTGACTTTTAGGTTTTTTTGGACTTGAACCTAAACATTCTTACAAGTCCGGATCCAAGTCCAGTGAACCGGTATGCATCACTATCCGACACACAACAAAAAATGGCAGAAAAAGTGATGGCTTCCTACGGTTGTCACCTAGGTGTCTTAACATGGCGTAATTGAATCACAGAGGTGATCAAAATGGATAATTAAGCCAAGAGGGGATGTAATAGGAGTACGGGTAGGGCCAGGGGGGAGCGAAGGGTGACCATTGTACGCCACACAACCATGACGGCTCTTTGTTTACTGTTCATGTCTTTAATGCTACACTCACAATGTCCTATAAAAATAACCGCAAACATGTTCGGATACAGAGTAATTGAGTCGTAGAGTTACTTCCCAGGTGAGAAAAGGCCTGCAGTAAGGATCAGAGCGGCCTTGCCCGGGTCTCAGGTGTTTGTGACAGCTCCTTTGTTTGTACCCTGCACCGGTCCAAAGGCCGGTGGTTAACAAACAAACATACGTGGGTCGGGACAGGTTCACGCGGCCCACTATGTGCCAGTCCGTACCCGTACAACGTTTAATCACATACCATTCACGAACAAGGGATGGTGAACAAACGAACGCCCATCACAGAAAGTCTTGTCCAAACTGCTCAAGTCACTTTCCCTTCAACAGTTGCTGTGCAAATATTTTGCCAGGATAACTTTACAACAAAAACCAGGCGGACATGATGCCAACCCTCTTGTACTTTTGCTGCTACCCTAGTAGTCACCCTTCAGCAGTGTTACATTTCCTCCCCCAGTTTTTCTGGCAACTCAGGAAAAGTCTATGATCAAGAAGAAAAATAAGAATAACAACAATAAAATCAGGCTGCATTGCTGATTCTTCATGTAGCCTCCACCAGGAATTCCTACGGGGGTACGGATATTAGAATTTGGTAAAAAGGGAAATACCGGTAGTTGTCAGTCCACGAGAGGGTTAATTTACCCGCTTTGCGTGGGCAAAAGAACTCTACGCTGGCTAAACTCCTCTAGTAAATTATCCTCCCTATGGGCTAATTTTACTCTTTTTTCACCCACATTGTTAGTCTACTTTTCTGGTGTCAGTGTTGATGTTTTGAATGGTTCACAAATCTTTCCAACAGTAAAAGATTGATTTAAAACTGCCCTATATCCTGGTTACTGTGGAATAACATTCTCCTGCCCTTCTCATGACAACGGTTGCCTAGCGATAGACTTAAACATTTCAGACCTTTAATCCTATTAATGTGAGAGGGTACTTCTGATAATTGGTTTACAAAATCGGCAACATTGGGGGATTGACTCCAAGCCTAAAACTTTGTAAACCTTCAGTATGTTGCAATACCCTTGGTGTTTGGCTGAAGACAAGTATTCCATATGTACTATAAATGTTTATAAGTAATAACACCTGGATTAATAAAAATTATATGTTGTTTCAATATTTTTCCTTGTATTCTTCCATAGCTCTAGTTCTTGCCATTGAATAGTTTTTGAGCCATCCGTTTTTGTATCAAGTTTACAACATGGTTGCTAATGTTTTAAAATCTGTCCAATTTCTTAAATTGCTTGAATATATATATGATTTCTAAAAATATTATCTTGATATTTTGGAATTTTGTCTGCAACTGGTAACCAAGGATAGCTCTAGTCTAGGCAACCAAAATTTTTCCTCAGGTGCTCAGAGTGCAACCTAAGTTTGGTTTCAAACCGTGATACTGTACTATTGTGATAATGTACTGTAAGTTGTTGTGAAGCGAAGTAGAAGTAATGTAACGCTGACAGTCATGTTGTTCTTTTTCCGCAGTCTTTCTCGCTAGCAAAGAAGAAGATTGTCCACTACACGAGTTTTGACGCCCGTAAGCGAGCCAACGCCGCGTATCTCATAGGCTCCTACGCGGTGAGTACCAACCAGTAAACAAGGACTGTGCACACGTCCAGAAATAGGCTCCAGGTCACATAGCACGGATAAGTCACCATTACCTTGGCCCGTCTTCCTTGTGGCCTGGTGTGAACTCAGGGACATGGGTTCTAGTCCCGAATTTTTCTTGACCTTTAAAGATGGTTGGCAGCAAAAATTGATTCACCGAATAGGCTGTTTTCTTTTATATAATGCAGGATAGCGCTCAGACTCAGAGGGCAAAATGTCATTCTAATGTCAAAGCTCAGAGTGTGTCAAGGACTGCTTCAATGAGTGACAGCTGTGCTAGTGTTTTCTTTTTGTAGGATGAAAATACGGGATTGCAAGGAGTTTTGCCAAGATTTGAAAGCCCAAAATGTAGAAAAGACAATTGTTTAAAAATGACACATTTGATGTCATTTGCACGAAAGATGTGTTGTTTTTTAGTCAGAACTTGAAAGGTGAATAATGTACTAATTGAAGTTCAAGGCTCTTTGGTATGTAGTAACACATGAACATGTATGTAGTGTAATCAGGATGGTATGTAATGATAGGTATGGTTCACCACAAACCAACACAACAACAACTGTCAAGGGGATTATCTCATGTATGGCCCTTTGCGGTTTGTACTTTGGAGTATGTGTGTGGCGTGGCATGCTCAATTTTTCCGCAATGTCTTCGTGCTACTTCCATTTACATTCTCAACCGCAAAGCAAGGATTCTAGCTGTTGCAGTCCCCTCACACAACAAACCATGGCTAATTATCGCCAAAGATGAGACCATACACATGCCCAGAGAATATGCCTCTATTGTAGAGTTTCTAGGTCAGATATTCAGTGACATTCTGGTTACTAGACAAATTTGTCACGATTTGACAAGCAACCGACAACGCCCGCTAACGAGGTAGAGCGTTATTGTTCGTCAAGAAAAAGGGCAGGCTTAGTTAGCTCATTCTGACGCAGATTGTGATGTCATACGATACATTATGGATTTTCGACGTTACAATAGACTCTCCCCAGTCTATTACTACAGACAAAAAGACCTAACGCGGTTGGGAAAGTTCGCTTGCTAGTATTCGCTCCACTTCCTGACACAGTTATTTGGGTTAGTTCCCCTTGTATAGGGAAATTCTTAAAGAAGATTTAGTCAAGGCTGTGAAGTCTTGGGATTTTGTAAATTGTCACAGAGATATTATTTCTAAGATGAATGATTTCCGTTTTGTCATTGTGTCAGTGAGCCAACAAAGAAAAGGTGAAGATTGAGATTTCACGAAGACTCATTCACGATAAATGCCAATTGGGAACAGGGAACTATGAATCGCCTTTTAGAGAGTGCATTTTGCTCCATTTTCATTTGTTTTAGGCATTATTAGTAATATTACACATTGGGTACATGGCATTCCCTTTTTTAAGTCCACAATGTCCTATTTCTTCCATAGAACCTTGAGTATATCTGTTTTGGTGCAGTTGCCAGATGTTTGACGAAGATCAGAATGTTTTTATAGATTCCTGCCAAGCTTTCGGTCAAGGTTAACCTCTATTGGCATTTTCCCAAACTCTGCTGTGTTCCTACATGATTCTACCACCTGGTACATATACTGTAGCAGATTTATCTTAACTGTTATGGTGATGTGTATGTTGCCGGGCACCATGCACCATGGCACCATGGCCACAGGAAAGTTCCAGCTTTTGTCAATACAAAGCAAAGAGGTCCTCAGCTGGTAGATGAGAGATGTAATATACTGTCCAGTGCCTTTCTCTGGTGTAATATGTCATCACCATGGTAACCCATATCAGTGTTGACTTGTGTTTTTCCTAAGAGGATGGGAGCTTTTGAACTCTGTCAAGGAGGGTTTATTTTCGTTATTAGAAACTGTCAGTTTGACAGAGAAATTTATGGGTATTTTCTTGACATTTTTTGGTGTAATTTGGAAGTGGTTAGATTTTGGGAAATATTATTGGGGAGCAAAAGTAGAATTTGGATTCTTCACTGTTGTAGGGTAAAGGAAACCCTAGCGACTTTCTTTCAAACTGCAAATATGAAGAAGAATCTCTAGCATTGCTATTTCATAATATTTGTAGCATTAATGCATGTTGGGTTGTAGAGGAGGCTTTGAAAATAACCGTTGTGTCTGTTGACAGTTTTTAGTATTGACATTTTTCTGCTTCAGTTGACTCATGTGATGAGTCAGTGAACTGAAGGAATTAGAGCCTGGTGTGTTTATGTGAGCAAAATTATAGACTCTGTTGCATTATGTTATTCAGTGTTCCACATAGGTGGTTGGCTAAGAGTCTCACCAATGAAAGGACCCCCTTTATGAGATGAAAGCTCCCCTTGTAATATACCACCAAACCATTTAATATTTCAATAATTGTCTGGGGTGAAATATTTTCTAGTTTATTATCGTGCACATCGTTGAATAAGGCATGAATATCCTAAAAATGTCACATAGCAAAGGTGCACAGTCAATACCTGGTGCCAATGTTCTAGCGATCCGGAAATTTTTTTCTGTCACCCCAATTTTGTGTCACATAACATCATGTAGAGTGGAGCTGGTAGACTAAGCTTATTTAATGACATCTCTTTCTATATCTTTACACGCTAGTTTTTGTCCCTGAAACTCAAAGTTGACAAATTGGGCAACATTTTTGTTTGCCATGAGTGGCAAAATTCTGTCAAATGATGGAAAGGCGGACACTGCAGCTAGAACACAGCACTAAAACAAAAGCAGACACCATGATATACTGTAATGTTATCAAACTCTGTGGTCGTTGTACATGATTTGATGTGGCAGTACCTCCATGCCCTAACCATTTATTTGAAATGAACCATTATATAGCAGAAGTGAACTGTAGCTGTTCCCATATACTATATTTCACTCGTTATAAATTTACAAGCGTTCTAAATTCTACCTTACTACAGTGAACGTTTCTGTCTCAATTACCGGGCAGAATATACTGTATAACTGCTGATTTTTGAGCCCCCAAAATTTCAAACTACATGTGTAGTACTATTTTTCTAGTTTGTTAGAGAAAATACAGTAGGTAGCCAGGTAGAGAAAAAGGAAAAAGGATATCTGCATATTGCCACAGCAGAACTGGTCATGTGAGATGTCACTTGACACGGGAGGTCCATTAAGTTTTCATGGCCAAAAAAACGGTTGACGTACCTGCACACAATCAGCCCTGTATCATGTAACCACCCGGCGATATTTTTAGACAATATACCAAAAATTTACTGGCCCCCTTTTCTTTTTGCACGTACAGAATAGAGGTATTTTTAAATGGCCATTAAATTGACATATGAGTAAGGTTATGGCAAATAGGGAAATGGGAATAAAATCCAAATGGCTTGAAATACATTTTTATGCATATCTGCACTAGGGCAAGTGACATTGAAAATTAGGTACAGGTAGACACCAGAAATACCTGCACTACTCCAATTGTATTCGTACTAACCGGTATGTGCAGGTGGGATTTCAATCCCTGATCCAGTATGATTATGAGAGGATAAACATAAGTGATAAAGAACAAAGCAGGCATTTTACAGTGTCCTTGACATCTAGCTTTACGGTACATTTTTTTCAGAATCTAGGACAAGGAGACAAACGTATTATGGGTATCGGGAATATAAACAAGAGGCATGTGTGTAGTATTATTGTGTGACTCAGTATCACCTAGTAGGAATTGTACAATTTGAAAGAATTGCTTTGTGTGTTGTTCTTATATTACTGTGAGAAAGTCCCAATTTCCAGTCCTAAATGTAATCTCCAAGCAGATGTTTCGGTGGCCGCAAAAGACAGTATCAAATTGGCCAGGCAGTATCCATTAGCCAGACAGCATCCATTGACCAACCAACAGTGGCTAATGGACACCCCTCTGGCCAATGGATACTGCCTTGGCACCGTATGATCTGCTTGGAGATTATCCTAAATGCAGCATTACTAGTAGTGGATTAGCTGGGTATACATGCTGGCCCAAGCTGTGGTAGGATTGGCTGGTGTTTATAATCTAATTATCATGGAGGCGTGGCTTTAGTTTACACCCTCCCTCTCCACTGCCTCAGGCCAAGATGCCAGTAATTTACTAATTATCACACCCCTATAAGCGCTATTGATACAACATACCTGTATGGCTGCATTAAATTCTTCCTAGCTTTTCTACATGTTTCTACATGATCTAAAGATAAAGTCAATCCTTCCAGCTGTTCAGAGGAAAGCCAATTGAAATTCACCAAAAGAAGAAAAGGAAAAAGTTCCCAAGTTATGGCCGAGAGCCTTCTTGTCATGAATGTATTTTTAATGCCCGAGGCTAGGTTGTAACTAGCGATGCTAATTTTTTAATGACTGTACGAGGGTGTTTGTAGAGCCTCACTAAATATAACAAGGTCAGTGGCCTTGAGGTAGGTTGTATTGTGCATGCAAAAAAGGTGCAGCGTTGTTCTTCCCAAAAAAGTTAAATGACAAAAACACCCTCATTCATGTGCAGATAAACAAATGCTTCCTGCAGTCACTGACACTTTTCTTGCTGTGCTTGAAAACAGGAAATATTTTTGTTTATACTCCAAATACAATCCTTTTGATAGTATTAGTGCAAGGCCACTGGTTGTAAAACCAAGTATAATACAAAGATGTCATTGGATGAAGTGAGTACCACTTGCTCATAAAATACAAGCCTTCTCAAAATGAATCAGTAGCCCCAAAATTCAACCAAAGACACAAATATCAATTTTGACTCAACTCCAAGACAATTTACCATTTATAAGTACATAACTCTTATGCTGGATTAAGGCTGTAAAAATTTGACATTTAGATTAAATTGATACTGAACTGGGGATATATCAGTAGTAGTTTTGATCTGGAATGGTGACAGTATTATCATGGATCTGAGAATTTTTGGCCCTTGTTTTTGTTCATCTAAGAATGGTGGGAAGCTAGCTTGACCTAACAATTTAGTAACATCCTCCTTTAACCAGAGGATTTTGAATCTACAACTGTCAATACACACGGCAAACATGTTATTGTTGGGTTGTCATGGCAACAACGACCTGAATTCCGTCAGGTTTACCCGGGCGACCGAGACGTCACAGTATCCAGCCTCCCGTTTCGCCTGGTTAATCTGCGCAAACGGAAACGCGGCGGTTTGTTTTGCTAAGTACGCACGGATTGAGAAAGAGTTGGTCACTTTGCTGTTAGAGGAGTGATGGAGGCCCTTTGTTGTATGGGGATTAAAACACAAGGGTTGCTAATAATAGAAACACGGACGATGGTATTTGTAGGTACATGTTTGGTCAGGCAATGTCCAGTCAAAGAATCATTTTACGCATTGAGACTAGTGGTGGTTAGTGGTTACAAACTTATCTTGTCATAAGTAGTTTGAAAGATTGCAGGATATTGACAAGTAGCAACATACTGAAAATACTGACCGTGTCCTTGAGTTCACAACTTCACATATGCATGTACCTAACACACTCAGTACAGGGGGCGACTAGTTTTACTTTTAGCATGTTTGTTTTTTTTCCTGCTTGGGAATAGAATCCAACCTTTCCTTTTGATCCCTATATTTGTTATTCCATGGTCTAAAACCTAGAGCCTTGGACTAGATTTAGAAGAAAGGACATCCTTGCCTCGCTATCAGTCCTTGAGGACGTTAAGTGCTTTTTCAAGATTTTGATGATTGATGAAGATTATCTCGTGATTGGAGAAAAAACTGATCCATTGATTTTTTTATTTTGCTGCTTGGTTGTGTGTGTTCATGATTTATGATTCTTGAAATAACGTGTTGTAGATGATATGTCAAGTTGTAAACATGGGAAATATTGTTTTTTGAAGGAAGACAAAGTAGAAGATATCTATAATGTATATACAAAATAGTTTAGTGATTTTCAAGTTTACTTTGAGTGTAAAAGATAAATTTCTTTTCCCTGTACAGATCATCTACCTAAAGATGACACCAGAGGAGGCCTACAGACCTCTCGTCAGCGGAAACAACCCCCCTTTCCTACCTTTCAGGTGAGTGGTACAGTCCTAAGTATGCGAGTGAGTGCAGCGAAGCAAAATTTTCAAGCAAACACAGGAAATTCTCTTTCCTTTTTTTATTAAATGCAGTTAGTGAAAAATCATGTGTAGTCAGTAAATGTACAAAATGTTTGCTTATAAGTTATACTAGACAGCATTGCCTTTTCATTGTGAAGCCTTTCTTTAGTTATGCACTGAAGCAAAATTTTCTAGCTAATACATGAAATTTCCTTTACTTTTTTCTTAAATGCAGTCAGAGAAAAATCATGTGTAGTCAGTAAATGTACAAAATGTCTGCTTATACTAGACAGCATTGCCTTTTGAAATTTGATTGTGTACTTTTCTTTTGGTTGAAGAGGCTTAAAACCTAGCTCGGAAACAAGTCTTTAATTTTATTAGCCCGAGAAACCACTACCTGTACATCAAAGTGGGTTATGTAGGAAGTAAGCCCTCAGCCCACTATATGTGCAGGTTGATTGATTGCATATTGACCCAGAGCTCCGTAGATAGACTCCAGTATACACTCTACCATCTGTTACAGCTAACAGTGAAGTGCACAGAAGGGAACACATGTACACACACATACTGGCATTTCAATGTATCATTTTGGAATATTTGTTCTACCCTTGAACCACATCTTTATCAACTAATTAGGCTTATCTTCCTTTTGCCAAAACGTCATTCATAACACAAGTAATCATAACACGTTTGTTCAGTGTGCCAAATATAGGAATTATGTTATTTTTACATTACACACATGTATAGAATAATGAGAGGGTATTGTGAGGAAATTTTGTTGCAGATATCTTTGTTTAGTTTGGAAAATTTAGTATGCAAAAGTACCCATTATACTACTCTAGCTAGTTGAAATATTTAGCTATTGGTCAGACAAAGGTATTTTCTGTCTGACAACTGTGAAACATTGCTTGTGTATTTGCAGGGATGCGTCCTTTGGTGCTTGTACATACAATCTCAACCTCATTGATGCACTCCATGGAATGTACCGGGTAGGAACTGTTCTAGTCTGTCACACGGGAAAAGGGGGAAAACCAGAGATCTCTACATTATACTGTGTTAGTCTCCAACTTACCTGCCAAAGAATTTCATTACACTACAGTACACTATAATATTTTTGGCATTTTCTCACTTATTACATTACCACAAACAACATATGTTGTCAAGTTTACCTAATTTGTATGACATTTAAGTTGCAACCAAGGCTACAAATTGCTTTGGTTACTTGACAGTGAATGATTGTAATGTCTACTTAAACAGTAGACGATTCTATACATATTGTTTGCTGTATTTTGGGACATGACAAGACCCAGAAACCAAAAACCAGGCAAGTTTACACTGTGATGCAGAGAGAAGTCTCATTTTCGGTCCGTCCCGGATCTACATGTTCGAAGTGAGAAGTACTTTTCAGTGGGTCGTTCGTTTTGTTAACAGAACATGTCAAATGTTTCCTCAGCAAACCTTTTAAAAGCCATTTGGAACGTGTCCAAGATTTACTTTGCTAGGAGGCAGGCAAGGACTGGAGAAGACAAGCAACTTCAGCCACAGTAGAACTGAGATCTCTGGGCCCCCCTCCCCCATTTTACCATGCATGTTCTGATCTATGTGGTGTATATTCCCCCCCACAGGGATGCCTCATTCGGACCATGTACATTTAAAGTAACTGTGTTAGACTGTCTGCACGGAATCGACAAGGTAGGGCACCCTGACCACCCCTGCTGTAGAATGGTATGACTCGTCTTTCTGTCAGAGCTGTCTGATTTTGGAAGAGTCCATGCTACAGTGAGGGGTGCTTCAGGAAGAGTGCTTGCCTTTTCCCTGTCTGCTGTGCTCATGCTGTCATCTATGTTCTCAGTGTTTTTAAACAAAACTAACAAAAACAGAATGCTGAAAAAAAAAGCTTTTTTGAAACTGGAAATGTGTAAATTTCAAAATCAAAGAAGGAAGTATCTGGCTATTTTGAGGTTCAACGAAAGCTAAATTTTGAATTTAATTTTCATGTTCCGTTATTTCATTCATTTGTGCCTAATATTTCTGTAGTAAATGTCATCTGTTACTAAGTGTTTTTTCATTCCATATCTTGTCAATGTCCATTTACTTGCTTTACTTCGTCTAATTACTTGTACACCTAATTTTTTTAGCTTGGTATACTTCTAGTTTTGTTATATTTTAAAAATTTTTGTTATATGTTTTATTTTGTATAATTGGTAATACCTGTAAAATTGTTGAACATGATTCCAGCTTGATATGCATTTCGCAAAATGGGCAGAATTTTTAACATTTCTGTTTGGAAAAGGCTCATGGGGCACGTCAGGATATCTTTCCCCTTCTTAATCAACCCTGCCTTTGTGTTTGTACAGGCTCTACAAAACGGCTTTATCAACTTTGAGACCTTCGACGTGGACGAATATGAACATTATGAGGTAAGCACAAGTGTCTGAACATTGGACTACAGATATCAAAACAACTCTGAAAGCCAATGTATACAGGATCTTTTTTAAAAGTGGTTTGTAGAATGTTAGATGTGTGCTTCTTTCAGTTCTAATGGAAGCAATTTGTTTACGGGAATCAGAACCGAAAGAATTTTAATTTCTTTGGAGAGAAACTTGCCATACAATCTTGTTCCCACAGTCTATGGGAATATTTTGTTACAGTAATTTCCTTTTCTTTGTGATCATACCATAAGTGTATGAAAGGGAAATATTTTGCATTTTCTCACAGGCTAATCTTTGTGCATTATTGTTGTTCTTCTTGCAGAAAGTAGAAAACGGAGATTTCAACTGGATAGTGCCCAACAAGTTTCTAGCATTCTCAGGTCCCCATCCCAAGAGCAAAATAGAAAATGGTAAGTCCATGTTTAGCAGTGCCACCTATCTTATGTGTAATGTACTGCAATATTGTGTATCCAAATTATGCTGGAAGAACATACAAGAGTATTGTAATAAACTGAGCTGAACCAATATTGACTGAACTGACTGAAATTTGTTGCTTGCATAGCAATGCCTCCTGTAGACCCAATGTGGTACTGCAAGACAAGATATTAATCCATGCATAAGTACTTTAAAGTGACACACATATTCCTAAAACCCCTTCTGAAGTTCTAGGCTACCCTCTTCATGCACTGGAAGTATTATAACTGGAAGAATATCCCTTGTGTACTATAATAAACTGAACTGAACTGACAGAATTCTTGCTTGGACAGCAATGCCTCCTGTAGACCCGTTGTGGTACTGCAAGACAAGATAGTCATCAATGCTTGGAGTTTTAGTGACAAACATTTCCTAAACCCCACTCTAGGCTACCCACTTCACGCGCCGGAAGCGTACTTCCCGTACTTCCGGAAGCACAACGTCACGACCATCATCCGCCTCAACAAGAAGATCTACGACGCGCGCCGCTTCACGGACGCGGGATTCGACCACTACGATTTGTTCTTCGTGGACGGGAGCACGCCGAGCGATAGCATAGTTAGGAGATTCATTCAGATCTGTGAAAATGCAGAGGGAGCGATAGCTGTCCACTGTAAAGGTACGTCTACACAATAAATGTGAAAAATGTTAAAGTCATAGAACTCTTCTTTCCATGTTGCAAATCATATGTTGCAAAATACAGAAAGGAAGACTATCAACCAAGAATTGAGGTGTTCAAAAACTCCTAGAACTTAGAGTGGAACTCGCTGTCACCAAGTACAGTAGGGGCATTATTGTTAGATAACTTGAAACAATGTTTAGAGTTAGATGTTCAAGGGTTAGGTGTAACAAGTTGTTCGGTGTAATGTGCCGGTGAAGCTGGTGTGTTATACCAAAGAGCGGTTAAAGCAGCTATACAGATACAAATGTTGACCTCCATGTTTTTGCCCCCCTCCCCTCCAGCTGGCCTGGGCAGGACAGGCACCCTGATTGGCTGTTACATGATGAAGCACTTCCGCTTCACGGCAGGCGAGTGTATCTCCTACATCAGAATATGCCGTCCTGGATCCATCATCGGCCCTCAACAACACTGGCTCGAGGAGTAAGTATTGTTTGTTTGTTTGAGCCTTTGTATTTGAAATACAGTACACTTGAATCAGTCCGCTGGCCACTTTCCATTGACGCTATGAGAAGAGTGGTAAGGGCCAGACAAAATATAACAAGGTACATATTACATGATTGATGTCCATAAACATATAGCCATATATAAAGCTTTTCTTTTCTTACCTACAAGTAGTTGAAATTTGAATGAGGCAATGTTTTTTTCCCCATTGGTATAAGGAGTGAAACATAGATTTAAAACCCTTGTCCTGCGGAGCCCATATATATATATGTGTGTGTGTGTGTTGCACATACAGAACCATCCATATATAGCTCTGTTTAAGTACGATGTTGGGGTATTTCTCGTGAAACGCATCACAACGCAGTGAAATAAGATTACACCTGATCAAGACATGAAATTATTGAAAAATGTTGTGGAAAAAAATTCCAGCAGGACAAGGGTTAAAAGAAACATTACCAAGTGTAAAACAGAATTTAGATGAACAACTATCTTAACCAAATTGTACACACAAGGATGAAGAAGTAATAGTTATGATGTGTTGTAATGAATTCCTTGGGTTTTCTTTCAGACAACAAGCGAAGATGTGGGTGCAGGGAGACATCTTCCGCGCCAAACAGAAGGAGAACAAGTTGAAGGACAGGGCGACCGTGTCCCGGATCCTGTCCGGCGTGGACGACATCTCTATCCAGGACACCGACCGTGCCTACCAGAACAACGACTACGTCGACTATGAGGAGGTACACAGTCGTTTTTACACTAGATTTGTTGTCATATTTGTTTTAGATCTTGTCAGTTATCAGTAGCTTATATAGTGTAATAGACAGCCTAAAAACTTGTAGCTATTTAATCAAGGCTGAATATTTTCTGTTGTTGTTGTTGACATCCTTTTAGCAAACTTCTATAACTGTGCAGAATGAAACTTATTTTTCTTGTAAACAGCACTTTTTATTTACATTTTTATATACATTTAGATGTATGGATAGTAAAATGCAACAGTGCCTAGGAAAGGAAAGAACGAAGATGATATGGAAAGTGGGAATTATCCTTCTTTATGTATTACATATACAGTCAAACCTGTCTATAATGGTCACTCAAGGGACTGGCCAAAATTGACCACTATGGCCAGGTGACCACTATAGAGAAATGGCGGTTAGTTGCCCCCCCCCCCCCCCCAAGTGACACATGCTTTCAGTACCATTGAACAAAGATGTATTTATGTCTTTATTCTCAAACATATGAAAACATTCATTGCACAGGTAAGTCTCTTTTCAAATGTAACATTACATGTTATAATTCAATTGTTGTTCTTGGTGGGCTTGAAAAAAAAATTATATATCAAAACTGCATGCACTCGACATGATACTCAGTTGATCTACTGGGACTATGAAACCTTCCCACTAAAATATACAAAATCACTGGTTGCCATTTACTGTTCTTGTGTACGTGTAACATCGATGTTACCTACAGAAAACTTGAAAGCGAATCAAGCAAAAAAGTTTCTGTCGACTCCAAGCCATGTTTCTTCCGACTGCAAACTCCTTTAATCTAAGCTCCTTCGACCGATAATTCCTTCTCACTCGCTGTCAGTTGAATCACATTCACCTTGTGGAATAAGTTCGACGTCTGTCTTTCCGCTTTTGCCATCGTTTCTCCGCAATCGTACCGTAAGTCGAAAAGTGGAAGAGAAATTATGACATCGCCATGTTTTTGTTCTTTGCTTCGCATGACCGACATCGCCACAACGAATTCCAACCATGTAAACAAGATTTTTTGTACCAAGATGCTGTCCATTTAGTTAACAGCAAAATAATTTTCATCTGTTGCCGTTTATTTTCCGTTTTTTGGTCATTTTTGAACATGAAAACGTAGCGAAAACTTTCCTTTGTTTACGGCTTGGGTTTCTTCCGGCGTGGGTTGTCTGCCTCTGCCATTATGCCAATGTGGTGGTCAACACAAATAGTGCTCCTTTCAGGCTTACATATTTTGTAGAATATTCACTACAGACTTAAGTTTACGATGAAAATAGTTTTAATAATGTATTCCAAATATTTTTGTAATGTAATCACGCCATTTGATGCTATAAAATTAAATAAAAGTCGGTACATCTACCTCCAAACCAATGGAGTCTTCCGATGACCCCAATTGACCTGATTGTTGTTGCAGCCTGCGCCATTTTGAAAAATCACGAAACGCATTTTCTCAGCCCAAATTTCTTGAATTATGCCCGTGAAAAAGGGAAGTTGGCAACATATTTATGCTTTTCAAGGAATCGAAAAATCAAATATGGATATTCGTAAGTTTTTTGTAAGGATGATTGCCGCAATCTTCGCCGAGTCCACTGAAAGCACCGCGGCACGCACGACATGGTGTTTCAGATATCAAAGACGTCAACACGAGCGACCGCAAAAATTTCGTGTCAAAATCAAGTTTTCCTTTATTTCATACACATCTGGAGTCTAATTTCAGTTCACATTTTAATAATGTAGCGGCCACAAAATTATCACAAGGCTTGATTGAACGTCCTAACGGCCGTAGCTCGAGGTCGGGTGGTGTTACGTACGTGGTGCTTAGCGGGTAACTGCCGGCCAGCCGTGACCGCTATCGGCGGTGTTGACAGCCGGCGGGACCGGAATGGGGTGACCGCTGACCGCGTTGAACAGTGACCGCTATATACGCGATTCTTAATGCTTACGTCAATGGGAAAAATTCAAGGGACCGGCAAAAACCGACCGCTATGGCCGGGTGACCGCAATGCCAAGGTGACCGCTAGTACAGGTTTGACTGTATATTGTTTTCTATTTGCACTTCTAGGAGTACGTGCCACCCGTCACGCGAAGCAGCCTGTCCATGACGCAAGGCGACAAACTGCGACAGATCAAAGCCCGCAAACACCCGCGATCCGCAAGCACGGGAGCCATCAAGTCAGTACCAGTCAGCTCGTAACACATGACAACTCTTAACACTGTGTTTTTCTGACCTCTTTGTCTTGTGGACTTAGATTTGAAGTAAAAGTTGAACACAAACTATGAGGCAGTTGTTTGAGATGGTCGGAATTTCTCCATGTGATTAGTTCATTCTTGACCAATTGGGAGAAGGATCCATTCTGATTGGTCCATCCTTGACCAATTAGATGCCTCAGGATGTGGCACAATATCTTTTTTCAATTGACAGTAGCATTGGCCATCTAGATTACACTTGTAATGATGCACACACTTTTGATGTGAAGTACTTGAATGTGATGTAATGTACATGTGTGGTGTGAACTAAAAACCTCTTATTGTTTCACTGAGATAACAATAACTTAGTGTTTGTTATTTTCTCTAACCATTCTGACATTGTCATTTCCCCACTAACATTAGTAACAAACTTGTTAATATCTCCACCTGTGGTTTGCTGTTGTGCATGTGTAATTTTTGTCAGAAATGTATCGTTAATGGTCTTTTTTCCTTCTCTCCGTCTTGTTCTCTTGCATGCAGACTGGACGACGCCAAAATGCATTCTAGGTCATCATCTCAACCCTTTAGGTACTGCAGTATTCCTCATCTTTATCCCTTTGATATATCACATCATGTAATGAAATGGTTATCCCCTGATGATACAGGCATATCATGTAGTGTAATGAACCATCCCTTGATACACCCTGTCATGTGTTTATGTTTGTTTTAGAACAGCTTTATTCTAGAGTCTATAGATTTACTGTACTGTACTGTACAGTTTTTGGCCCTCTAGAGACTATCTCTTGTACTGCATCAGATTTTCCAGTTAGTTGCTATTCCCCAAATTTTTAAACCAATCCTGTGACTCATAGCAGCCCATCCATTTCCTGCAGGATATCGTCCAATAACAGCCAAGGTGTCATGTCCCCGCTAAAGTCTTCCAAGGTCAGCTCCAGCTCCTCCGTCATCAAGCGAACCACCCGGAGCACGGCCAGTACCGCCACCGCAGCGTTAAAAAGGTACTTATCATTACAGTAAACAAATAATTCCAGGACTTTCTTTTTCCTGCACCTGTCGCCACCGTGGACATAGAGTTCCGTGAACATGTCCTTTTATCTCAGACCATGAAATTTTGCTACTGTGAACATGAAATGAATTACAGTATTCTATTTGCTTTGTGTAGTTTTCTCTTGTCCTCTTTCTTTCTTAGCTAGTTTTGCCATGTCATCATGTTGTTTTTCTTTCTTCTCTTCTTCTTCTCTTTTCTTTCTTCTGTTTCCTTCCTCTCTTCCCCTTCCAGAGTTGGTTACTCCCACTTATACGAACATTCCATGCTTCTATATGAAACCCCTCGCTCGTATTCTACCTGCCTTCAGCACTCGCATTTTGTTAAAACCTACTCTCTTCCGCTGTTTGCTAGAAAGGAGTATCATAGATATCTGGGGCGAACTAATCCTACAAAGAAGTACTGGTAACATATTATATCTCATGCACTGTACCCCTCCACCCCTAAAAGTGCATTGGCATTACCTGAACTCTTGTCTGTCAAGAGAGAAACTGGAATGGTCAGTTATTTTAAAGGGGTGAATGGGCAACAGTGCATGAGTAGATAGCATGTCAATTTGCATGTATAGCAAAAATATACAAAATGCTAATACCCATCTCAAGAGTGATCTTTATATACAACAATAACAGGAAAGGATGCCGTGTTTAATGTGTTTTAAGATGACTGTTGCATGTACCTGTAAAGGGAGTGGTTTACACAATCTTTTCTTGATGTTCCTTGTCTGTGTGACCACTCTTTGCCTGTAGCCCAATGCAAGGCCATGCACATTCTGAGCATTAGACAGAACTGTATGGCACCCCAGCAGTAGTGTGGTACATGTAATATGCCTCTCAACACCTAATGCAGTCCCCTCTCTTCTGGACATGTTGCTCCTCTCAACCCCTCTTTCAGAAAGAATGGACTGTGCCTTGTAGTGTTTAGGATGCTGTATGGGACAGTCCATTCTGATCAGGGGTGTGAAGGGCGACAGGTCTAGGTTTAAGGGGACATCATTAACAGTGTCTTCCCTCCCTCCTCACCCTGTCCCCCCTCTAGCTCTCTCCGTCTTGCTTCATCCCAACCCATCATACACCACCGGCGAAAAGACCGCGACCGAATCCACAAGTCCATGGAGAAAACGGACGAAATCAAAGTGGCCGAATTGTCCCGGGGGAACAATAAACTGTCCGATATAACGGCCGCCGATTTCCGTGGCTCGCCCGTCATCAAATATAACACCCGAAGCACTAACGCAGTAAGTCTGTGTGTAGGTGCCGGCACTGGGGGCTCATGGGAGTTTGGGGCTGTTCCATTTGCAGTGTTTAGGGAGGGGAGCAGTTGCCAGCCCCCCTCCCTCCCCCAGTGCTGCAGCCATTGCTTGCTGTTTGCTGTGAAGTGCATGGGTTCTTCCAGGGAGGGTCTAAAATAGGGAAATCTACACCCCTTCCTCCTGTGTTACAAGTGTTCTCGCTTTATTTACAAAAAGCAACACAAGGAGACTTAGACAGAAGCCTTACAGGATGGTGTATTCAATGTCTTGGGACACATCATCCTAGGAACATCCTATCATACCAGAACTGCTTCTTGTCCAATGCAGTTGACTCAGCTGGACAGTTTCCTTGTGTTGAACCGAAAATCAGTCAGTGAAAATACCAAGTGTTCATGCTAACACTTTTCTGATGTGTTGTGATGTGGTGTGGTTGTTCAGTGTACGCTTAACTGTAACCAATGAGAAAAGTCTGTGAACATAGAAACCAAAGGAAGTAAAACCACCCCCACTGAGGGTTCGGTTGAAAAGAGTTGTTGTTTTACGGAATGTCCCCTTGTGCACAGTGCCATTTGTTGAAGTACGCTGCTTTGAGTTTGTGTGTTGTGCAGTTTGACTGTGACGTGTTTTGTGACTTGCCGTGTTACTTTGTGTCGTGTGGAAAATAATCCCCCAAAACTCATTTGGTCCCATTTTGTTTTTCACTGGAAAAAGTGAAAAAAGTCTTATTTTTCACTAATCTTCATCTGCTTGTTTTTCTTTTTGCTACACTCTTGTTGATCACCAAAGTTTCTCTCAATTTCCATGGTTTAACAATTTTCAGGAGTTGCTTGCTGTGTGCTGTTGACATTATACTTAATTTTGTTTCTAACATTGCATATGAATAACCTTGAATTTAGTGCCATTCTTTTTGAGTTTCTATTTACATTCTAACATGAATGTGTTTTGTGTTAAGAAAATTAAAGTCTTCGCTAGTAAAAACAAAAACTGTTCATCCTCGGAATTACAAGAAAATTGATTGGCTTACCATTATAAGAACTCAAAATGTAAGACAGTTGTTGTCTGAATTTATCCCTCTAAGTCTGACTGAAGTTTGTTTCTTTTTATTCACAGCCGCTCAAGCCAACGCATACATACTACTAGAGCCTCCCTCCACCATTAGACATCAACATCATGGCAGAGGGGGTTGTGGGTAAAGTAGTGTATTCTGGGTAATGCACTGCACTTTTTCAGTGGAAAGATGACTGAAACAAGTGAGCACAAACCTTGTGGGTAATTTGTAATTGAGACTATAGGGGGGTTGTATGATTATTTACAATTGTGTAAAACAGCAAGGGGAATTCCAAAACGATGCCTTACATGTAGGTAGTTAAGGTTGGGGTATGAATGGCTGGAATACACAGTCCCTGTTAACACTGACAACAAAACTGGGCAGAGTGTATTTCAGCCAGCCAATCCCATGCCTTGTAAGATTTTGATGGTACTGCCATCCAAAACCTCTGTATATTTTAGATGGTCAGTAAGGAGAATCTACACTGATCCAATGTTGACTGCATGTTTTTAGGCAAAGTAGAAGCATCACTGAATGGATGTGTTTGTACATTTTGAAGCTGCTAGTTGGAACAACGTAAGTCCTTTGGTTTGCAAATTTGAGAAAAATCTTGCATTTTGGGCAAAAACTTTTAAAACCAAATTTCTATTGAAACACAAATGAAAAAACAACTATGATTCTTACAATGAAAACCTGTAAATTTGTAAAAGGACATTTGTGAAATGTCTGTGAACACTTGTTGTTCCTTTTCCTGACACATTTGTAATTACAAACAATATATTGTGTGAATTTTTCAGTGAAAGATAACGAGTATTTATCTTGTGTGTGTGTCAGCAAACTGATAGGATTTGTCCAAGCAGCTTGAAAATGGGAAAAAAATGATGACAAGCAATAATTAACAAAAGGATATATCTATATAAGAGGTGCATGGTATGTGAGAGTGTAGAGCACTTTAGATACTATTTGTACAACACTTTCAAACTGTGAACTGTTTGAATACACATGTACAGCAAGTGGTTTTTCCTGTAATAAGAACAGCAACCAATGGCGAGCTTTGTAGAGGGGGTGACCCCAGGTTTCCATGGTTACTAATCCCTTATATGGGCATCGTGTCAGGATTGGCTAAGAGACAGCAATTTCCCATGATCCTGTTCATTCAAACATCTCTGGTTGTCAGAATATTCTACAAACAAAAGAAAGCTCTGCACAATGTCATTTTACAGACTAGTAAAATTTCTGGGGAATTTTTTACTGGGAGTTTGTAAGTTAAGACCCAGTATTGACTATAACTGCAGACCATGCAGAAATCTATGCACCTGTAACATTGATAACACTTTGGGGAAGTCAACAATACTATTGTATAGGCATGAAGCATTACATACTATAATGTATGTATTTGATAATGGCATAATTATAGGCCATTGTTTTATACAAAAACAGTGATGTAAATGACAAAAACAATATTGTCTATTTTTGTATAGAAAAAAATCACAAATTTGAGAAATTACGGTGAAGGACACTTAATTGTACTTAATTAGGTCATAAAAAAACAGCATGTTGCGACTGATGACAGTTTAGTACAGGTGTTCTTAAAATCTTTTAGTGGACCATTCTAAATCTTTTGGTTTTAAATTATTGGCAAGTAGGTATTTTAAGTCTGATGTCTGTTGGGAGTGATTATTTCGGTCGGGGTCTTGTGAGGCTAGTAAGGGGTTTTCCAGCATGGTGATACTTGTTTACACTAACCAGTGATCAAAGGTGGTGTATGGGGGGGCACCCAAGTCATTTTGTACAGTAATACTGTAGTAGTGCTTGATATGAAGCATAGTGCTCGATTTCTTGGCTGTACCGTTGTAATCCCTAATTATGCAGAGGTGCGCCAAATTCTTCAAACTTCAGAATAATCCTAATCTTAGCTTGATTTTAGCATTATAAGGGACCAATTATTACTCAGAATTCCTTGATTTTAGGTCATATTTGTAAGTGCTCATGTTTTGAAACAAAGGGTTGCATTGGCTGTGTTTGCTTGTCATTGCATCTAAGTATAGTTTGGCACTAATTAGAAGAAAGAGTAGATATAGGCAGCTAGTGAACGTGTGTGTAGTGTGGTTTTTGTTTGTCGATGTCCTTTTTTTCTCACTTTATGGACGTCCTATATCTGTAGTGTTCTCAGATTTTCCTAATGACTTTACATTTTGTCGAAACGGTTTTGCGGAAGTGACTTACAAGCAAGCCTGTTTGCTATTTGGTTATGTTCTATGTTCAGGTTGAAGATGTGGGATTTGGTTTTATTTCTTTGGTTGTCTATTTTGAGCTTTGCCACCAAAGAGAAGGATAGAGTTGATCATATTTCGGTAAAATTCTGTAGCAGATGAAAACTACTGGCAAAAATATATATACGTACATAGATTTTGCTGTAAAAAACAAAAAGATAAAAGCACCACATATAAATTGACACATAACCTAAAAATTGTAAGCATTCGGCAATTGGTTTACACAGAATAGCACAATACATTTTGTAATACTAGTACTGCAATGTCAGTATGTGAACTTCTCTCGATTTAAGTGATTGAAAAAATAATTTGACAGCTGACTTTTCTATTTGCAGCAAGCTAAGCCTGGGCATAGATAAAGGTGGTAACAAACTGTTGTTTACTGTTAGCCATGACATTGTACTGTGAGAGTTGACCATACAGTGGCAACATCCTCCTTCCATGATAATACAATTAATGGTGGGGATATGTACTGCCTTTTTTCCTTGTTTGAGTGTAGCCTTGCTTTTATTATATTCACCATTGCTTTTTGTTAGTTGTGGAGTTCCACATAATTTTTCTGTATACAACACTGATCCGTTCTTCTGTAAATTTATCTTTAAGACATGGAAATCTGAAAATAAATGTGTTAAGATAATAATGTACTTTTGTGTGTGTATATAATCAATATTATCATAATTCCATACAAGTATGTCTTAAACCAAAATTATGTGTTTGTAGGTGTTTTACTCTGGTTTTATCGAGAGATTTATTATCAGTTATTGTTTATCGCATACATGTATGTATGTTTGTTTCAAGTACCAAAACCCTGTACATTCAATAAATTACAGCAATGACTTGAAAGAATGGTGTCTGTCTTAACTTGATTTGTGTCATAAGTTTCATTTAATTAGTCATCCCAACATGTCGTGGATTATATTAAGTGTCCTCCTAAACAAAGTTAAGCATAATTAAGGATTAATGACCTGCTCCTAGGTGTATATTGTGTGATAAGGCGTTTGGAGTTGCTATAACCATACCTCATGAAACCACTGAGTGAGTGAAGTGACTAAGGTGACTTTATGTCAGTTATATACCAACTCAAAAGGCCTTATCACACCATATACACTGACAAACAGATGGGTCTTTGACGTCATTAACATATAGACTGGCTCATATATGAGATACGAATTCCTATATGTCAAATAGATCCTTAAAGTACAACTAAGTACATTTTGAAAATTTACATTTGTCCTTTCAGTACAAAAGAAGACTGGAGTCTTCCATAGCAAATATTTTATAACATTGATATCTTTCCTAAATCTAACTTAACATATGAACTTCAAAGTCTTTTGAAGAAGTCCAAAGCCTGATCATGACAATTTTTCCTCATATATGTTTGCCTTTTGGCTTACTGTAATGATTCCTGATTTACATGTTCTATAATGCACAAAGTGCAGGGTGACCTGAATTGTTTGTATTATAAACATGAGGTCCCTATATTAAAATTCTGAGGTGTAACAACTAAATAATCAGTATCCTACAAACATTAGATCGACTCACAGACATCACAAATACAGACGCCGTCAAACTCGTCATACGATTTTCAGCGAGGTTTAATATTAAAACAGAACCAACGGCCAACAATGATTTGACAGCAACGTTAGCGTGCGTAGTCCATGGTTAGCGACCCTGCCTCTGGACCAAGAGGTTGGGAGTTCGAATCCTTGTCGCTCACCTGACATGCACACTACTGGGAAGTGTCGCAGTCCCTAGGACGGGTCGTTAAGCTGTGGTCCACTGTTCAATGTGCTTGTCGAGCTAGGATGAATTAATTTCCTTGGTACAATGAGCCTGTAAATATTGTAGCGTCTGTCTTCTTTGTCACGACCAGTGGGAGATTAGCTTTTCAGTGAGCTAAAACACGAGATCACTTTCACGTTGTACGTCATAACACAGCCGAATGACCTCTTTTTTGCACGACCAATGTTAACCGGATCCTAAACAAATAACGCAGGTAACGGTTCAAAGTTCAGACGTGACGTGACGCCCCGGCGTACTTATCGCACGTACGCGACTTTGTCAAGATAAGTACTGGGTTCTGTCGCACCTGTGGCTACCTGAGGCGTCTGTCTACGTACCGTGCCGTGCTCGACAGGTAAGCGGACACCCGGCCCGAGCCATGCCGTTTGATCTGGCGGAGTTCAACGGTACCTGGCGGCTGAGCAGACATGAGAACTACCGCGAGTTCCTGAGAAAGATAGGTGAGTGTGTGAGGGGAGAAAGGGGTTAGAGTTGCGTTAGGAACTCCATGTTTTGGGAGCCCAACCAGTTTGTATTTTTCCTAGGGACAGCGTGTGTGTTATTAGGTACCCTCAGTGTTGGGGATAAGTTGCATTGGTTCTCAAAACTGCATGGCGACTTGAGTAACGTCCTTTCCAGGTCTGCAAAAGTCTACCAGTTTCATGCAAACTGGTGGGTCGGCTTTCTTCATTTTTCCAACAGTAAACATAAAAATCTTTTATTTCGTGTTTTACAGCGATTTTCAGGGAGAGTAACCTTTCCTATCTTATCAGCAAGATTCTCTGTGTCTCTTTGTTTTGCTGATTTGTTGTGGGAAGAGAATGACTTAGTAGTCGTGGACCAGACGAAGCTAGAAACAACATTCGCGTTGACCTATTATATAATAGAAGTGTCAAGTTATTCATTACCCTTGTGTTTGAAAGGCCCTGCAAAGGAGCACTATTTATAAAACTGAGCTGCACAAAGGTATGAAAGGTCGTGCTGTTGTCATGAACGGATCTAAAAGACTTAGATAAGGAATTTCAAACGCAAAGATTAGACGTACTAAAAGGTACACCATTTCACGTTGTTACAAAAGGAAGTATTTGCATGGCCTCTCTCTTCCTTCCGTTTTGTCTAAGTTGAACTTCTGCTCGTATGGTCCTGTAGACCCTGGTCATAAAAAACAGGATGACATTGTAACTTCTTGTTTTGTAGACTGTACGGAGGAACACAACTTGTGTATGTTTTAACAACGTGTTATCACCGGCAGTTACACATACGTACATATCTTTCATTTGAATGGCACAAGCAAATTTGAAAACACCGTACCCAAACCAATGGCAAAGACGACAAAGCGAAACACTGCAAGAAATTGGCAACAAATAAAAGGGCCAGGTGAACGATCTAAAGGTTATATACATTATACAGCTGTCGTGTTGAGGGTTATACAACTGTCGCACTATTTAAACAGTAGACAAGCTTTGAGTCAAGGTGGCGAGCTGTGAACCGTGTAAAAATCCCACATTTACAGACTTAACGTTGCCATCACAACTAGGCGCCCAGAAAACCCAAAACTACTCTGTGGATTTTATGTCGTCTGAAAAAGAAACGAAGCCCCGACTCCAAGTCATACAACAAGCAGATGTGCAAACATGGTAAAAAGGGTGTACTATAAATACCCCAGCCCTTACAGGGTAGGTGTTATCTACAAGAGGCAGCAATATATGAAAGGGCAAACGCTGAAGTCTCAAATGGCTAAGGTATAGTTTATAGTGCTGTGTTCAGATCAGGTTAAGGTCCAGATTCAAGTCCAGAGGTTTTAGGGTTCAGGTCCGGGCTTTTAAGTCCGAACCTAAACCCATGGCATATACAAAATTGCATGTTGGCAACCTTGGCAATGTTGTCTGGGCGAAACTTTGACCACATAATATGGAGGCAATGGCAATGTTCATTTTGCAGCACAGATTTTGCAATCTATGGAAGGTTTTAGTTGGTTTGAAACGAAAAGGTTTTTTTATTGTAATAAGTCCGGAACTGATTCTTGCTTTTTAGGTTTTTTTTACTTGAACCTAAACATTTTTACACATTAAGTCCGGAACCTGTCCAGCGGACCGGTACAAAGCACTATGTTGATGTTGTTGCTATGTTTTGTGGTCGCGAGCCCGCCGTGAGCGGTGGTTTCTCGGAAAGCGGTTTGTGTGTGGTGTATCGATTTCATCCTCAACACGGTTTCTATAGAAGGTCTCGTTGTTGTGCAGGTGAACTCAGGTGGAAGGGCCGTCATTCAAGTTCGGGTTTTTCTAATTGCTTTTTGTGCTTTGGTGGTAAAGGTAGTTTGGTTTGACGTTTCCAGTCGGCTAGCTGGGAAAAAACAACACGAAATCCGTGAGCAAAATGAAGGAAGGAAAGAAGAAAAACTCACTAAAACTGAGCTCGGGCTTCAGTGAAATTTTAACCGTGTTCCCACAACAACACACCAATACGTTTTGAATTAGGGTATTTTTTCATCAAGATGAGGAAGCTTTTAAAGTTCGCAAGTTTTTGTAACGTTTTTTAAACATTTTGTGAGCCGTATTCACCGACCAAGTCATCAGCGTATCCAAGTACGTACATGTTGTTAAACGGGACCACTAGTCATTGAACAAACGATAACAGGTTTAGGACTGAATTGGCCCCTACAATCTGTCATTGATAAAGTTGACGGGGGAGTTGCAAATGGTCCTTATTGTTTGCAAGTCTCTCTGAGCAAAGGTTGAGGGGCGTTGCTTTCAACTTCTGCTGATTGACATCATTTCTGGCAGGTCAAGTTGAACGGTAGTCAAAAAGTGGGGCAATCAAAATATCTCTCTTTTCAATCTTTGCTTGCAGAGTTGTTTGTGAAAGAAATATTCTCAGTTGTTCACAGGGATCTTCCCTTCACGATGTGATTTCATTTTGGAGCGATTTCCACGTTTATAGACGACCCCAAGGGTAGATGCTTATCTGTTTGTTGTAAGAAAGGTGAACAAACAATTGCTGACATGTTGATAATGGTAGACCCTGGCGTGCCATTGTGTAGGGATTGCATTGAAATCCGGTTTGAACTGAGAATGTTGTCGTTGTTTTTCACGGTTTTAGACCTTGAACATGTCACTTGATTCTGTCCTCTCAAGGAATACCAGAAGAATGTGTCGCAGGTGCACTGGAGGTAACAACGGAGGCGGAAGTGACGCAAGAAGATGACGTCATCACGTGGACCGGTACGACAGGTGCCCAGAAGGCAGTCAGCAGCTTCCGGTTAGGAGAAGAGTTCGAGGAGGAGCATCTTGGCGGGAAAAAGAAGGTGACCCATCTTACGTATACTCCTCCTATTGTAGTATCCTTAGAGTTTCTGAAAACCAAGCAGATATTGAGAGACTAGCCGAATGAAACAAGAAGTGACGCAATTTTCTACATTAAAATTGTTTTCGCTCTGTTTCTTCTTCCTCTTCTTCTTCTTCTCCAAACAAAGGAGGTCAATGAACTGAACCAGATGTCTGTCACCATGGTGATTTCTTGTTTCCCAGGTGATGTACAGGTGTTTTTGGTCTGTTTATTCTTCCTCTTCTTCTCCAAACAAATAAGGTCAATGACCTGAACCAGACGTCTGTCACCATGGTGATTTCTTGTTTCCCAGGTGATGTACAGATGGGAGGAGAACAGTCTGGTGTCCAGCTACCAGGACTGGGACGGCACGGGGTTAAAGGTCACCATAACCAGACAACTACAAGGAGACACGCTAGACTTGGTAAGTAACGGTGACATTTCTCAGCAATGAAATGTAAAACGTAACAAGCAACAAGTGTTACACCAATCATCCCGCGGTTGTCTTCATTATGTTAACCGAAGGAAAACATATTGCTTTTTGCTCAGTTTCCTTTTCTCCAAACACAAAAGGTCAATGACCTGGGACAGACAGTCTGTCACCACGGTAACTATTGTTGGGTTACATCATGTTGCAAGTTTATAAG